ATTTTGTGCTGTACAAGCAATTGGGGAAGTTAAGATGGAGAAAATAGAGAAAATTTCTCTCTAATTGCCACCTGGACAAGATGCCTGTAACTTCCAGAATACTGGGCTCACTTTTGCATCCCTTTTCTTCTTGTTAGTAAGCTTAAGCTTATGTGGTCCAAAGTTACAGTAGGTATTTCTTTTGCACACATCTTGTGACACTATCTATATACTCTCGCTTGTTTCTATGCATTCACACAATTTTATGACCTCTGCAGTTTGCATGCCAGATGGGTAACCTGTGAGCCCTGCCTATCCTGCAGTTTCTTCTCCATGTGTGCACCATGTGCACCTCAGATGTACAGTATTAGTCCCAAGTGTGTACTTCTTTTGTAGTCTTTTTGACTACACATGCTTCTCAGACCTGAAAGGGCTGATTTTTATTCTTCTAGGGGATCATATGATCAACACCAACTGTTCCGCTGTCCATACCCGGCAAGCTCTCTGCTGCAAGATGTCTGTGGAATATGATAAATTCCTGGAATCTGGGCAAAAGTAAGTGAAACACATTGTTCTAATTGACTTTGTTTCTTCCAGTTCTGTGCTTACAGGAAACTTGAGTAATCATCTCTGTTCCAGTAAGGAATGTAGTATTAGCTAAAATGTAGGGATGAGTGCAGGAAAGGGAGGACAGCATGAAACAGTATTTGTAAACAAGCATCATCTGAAAGGTGGAAAGGAGGAGGTTATTAATTTCAGCCTCTTTGAAGATTTAGCATCTGTAGATGCTTTCATGTTTCCTATTCTGTAATTTGGGACAATAAGAAATATTTTCTGCTGCAAGGCTGAAAGACTATGACTCAGTTGTAAACCTATAACTCATGTCTTTGTCCCTATAACTTTTTGCTTTGTTTTGTTTGAAGATGGTTTTGCCATGTGGACGATGACAACTATGTGAACCCTCGGACTCTCCTACATCTGCTGTCTGCCTTCTCACACAGCCAGGATGTGTATGTGGGGCGACCGAGTCTGGACCATCCCATTGAAGCAGCTGACCATGTCCAAAGTGATGGATCAGTAAGTAAAGTTTTTCAATTTATCTGAGAGACATCCCAATCTTCCAAGCCTTTAAAACCTTGACAATTCATAGGATTCTCCCCCTAAACCCAAATGAACCTGGTGATGGTCATTTGCAGAGGCAGGATGCTGGGTTAAATGCACCTTCAGTCCAATGTTGTATGCATATGTATGCACAATGGAGGTTGTCTCCTGGATGGCTGTTTCTGTTCCTTCTGTTCCTGATCACACATGCTGTGATCTCCCTCACACTGAGCTTAGTAGGGCCTCCCCACCTTGACTCTTATTTTTCCTTTAGTAGTTTTTGGGGGCTGTGTTCCTTATTTTAGGACTTGGGAGTTTGGATGGGAGTTCAAGGGGGTTTTTTATTTGTTTTGAATGCAGTTTCACACACATTGTCATCATCTTGAACCAACTTGTCACATGGGTGACAGAAGCTTTCTGGATAGATAACCATTTTATATTGTAAATGCTTTACTAGGTTTCCAAGAACCAGGAGCAAACATATCTCAATCATAAGATACATGTGCTAAGGAAAAAATACTAACCAGGTCACCTGCACTAGCAGGTGTCTTTAAAGATACATCAATCCGCTGGCCAAAACTTCAGTTATAAAACAGCTTGTTAGGGAAGACTCTGCACAACAAAATTGGCTCCACGTCCAACGAGACTATCATATATATATATGGACCACCTTTGACATCCTCAGTAACACCGAGCTGGCTATGACCCTTAGTTAAAATGAATAGGGGACAGATGTAATTGTCTGGGAGTCTACCATTTCCCATTTTATGTGTGCTACCTCCCTTATGCTAATTTGATGGTTCACCTGCTGTCTACTTCATAGATAGTTTCATTTGAGAGAACAGCTAGCTGCTTTCAGCAGCCTAAACAAATAGGACTTCATCTGTAGCCTTGTTCTGACTCATATGTGGTATCAAATAGAACTTTGATTTCCTTTCCCTGCCCATCCAAATGCAAAAAGATGGATTATCAGTAACTGCTCTGTGTGTGTTTTTCCTTTTTGCTCTTCAGAAGACAACTGTGAAATTCTGGTTTGCCACAGGTGGAGCTGGGTTCTGTATCAGCCGAGGTCTTGCCCTGAAGATGAGTCCTTGGGCCAGGTAAGCATTGTTCCTAGCTGAGCTCCATCAATACATGTTTGGGAGGCTTTAAAACCTATTTTAGCTTGTCTCCTGTGCTCTCTGTCACAGCCTGGGCAATTTCATCAGTACTGCAGAAAGAGTACGTCTTCCTGATGACTGCACTATTGGCTACATCATCGAAGGGCTGCTGGAGGTAAAGCTGTTGCACAGCCCACTGTTCCATTCCCACCTGGAAAATCTGCAAAGACTTCAAGGCGAGTCTGTGCTGCAGCAGGTAGGGCTATGCCTCATATCCTGTGTTTATTACACCTCAGTCTGATCAGAAAGAAGACACTGCATAGACTTAGCATTCTTCAGCAAAGGATATCTACAGATTCATTTAGAGCTGTATCCTGCTCAATCCCTTCATTTAGATGAAAAGCACAGTTTCACCCTAACCAACTAGGTCATATAGCTGAACCCTCCTTTGAGGGCACATTATGCTACATGAAGCCTAGGTAGGGTGTACCCCATCTCTTCCTAAACATGGATTTTTTTGCATGTAGCAGAAAGAGTAGAAATCTGCTAAACAGTGTTCCTGGTTTTGCCTAACAAAGTTTCTATCTTAACTCATGCTGTTCTGAAAGGCAGCTATATAAGTACTTGACATAATTAAATGTTTTATCACTTTAAAGAACAATTTGTATGAATCTCAAGAAACTTAAAAGTTGCTTCTGAAAAATGAAGTTGCTTTTTAATTGCTGGGATACATTTTACCTCCCTGGCAGCAGGTGGAGCCACAAGGCCATCCAGCAGTGTTGCCTGCATCACATTGCTTGGCACCATAAGTAAACACGAGTGTGGTTTTGCCCCTGCATGCTGGGTGGTTATATTTTTCTGGCAATTGTATTAGGCAGCAGAAATGTGTGCTTGGGGCCAAATTCCACCGTGATGTCATCTCCCTTCATGTTAGTGAATTTGACTGCAGCATGAATACATTGTTTCACTGGTTATCATTGGTTCCATGATGAAGACAGCTAACCCAAAACCCAGGAAATGTACAATTATAAAGAAAAGGTAAGTCTTCTTATACCTGACACCTGAAAAATTCTTCATGCAACGCTTGTGTGGAGGAACCTGGGGTTCCAAAGATATAAATTTTGTTTCAGATTTGAAACATGACAATCCTTTCCATGCTACTTAATATGCAAATATTTATATTTTCCCCCTGTGCTAAAATATTGCTATTGCAAACTTACGGCAATATCTGGTAAGGATGAATGTGTCATTTAGTGAAGGTACAAACAGTAGCAGAATTTATGTCCTTACAAAGTTTACAATTGAAACTCATCTTGTCCTTCAGGGCAATGCAACTTTCAGATCTTCTGTGTATTCTCCCATGTTGCCCTTAGTGCCATTCAGCGCCAATGTTGCTTATGTCACAGCTAACCACTGTCCTCCAAATGTGATCCGTGTTCAGATCAGACAGTATCTTTGGAGACTTTCTTGGTACTTTGTTAATAACCCTGCTATGTCCACTCTGATTTTCTGCATTAGTGTTGCAAGTCTTGAATGTTTACTTGTTTTTCCAGGTAACCCTGAGTTACGGTGACCCTGAGAACAAACACAATGTCGTGAGTGTGGGAGGAGTGTTTGGCCTTCAGCAAGATCCAACCCGGTTAGTATCCACTTCCAAAACAACATCTCCTATCATGTTCATGTTTGTCATCTGTAAGATGATCAGACCCAGTAATGGGGTTATTTTCTTATGTCAGCTCATTGCCAAAAGCAGGTAGAGCCACCCCCTGCTCCATCAGAGTGCTGCACTTTCAGTGCTAGTATGTTCCATGTATGGAGAATTCCAATCTAATGCTGTCTCTTTTTCTTTCTTTTTTAATACAGATTTAAATCTGTTCATTGTCTGCTTTATCCTGACACTATTTGGTGCCCTGCTAAGAAGATGTCATAATTCTTGACCAGCCACTGATACCTATGTCTTACCTAGTTTGCATAAGGCAGGAGTTGCAGAGTTTTTTGGTGGTTTTATTCTTCTTCTGGGAGACAACCAGTGGTATCTACAAAGGAGGTAGCAGACTCTGTTTAGAAAAGCAATAAGGTGTGGTTTGTTCAGCTGCAGCCTGGGACATTCCAAGAAGCATCTTTGTTCTTTTGTCTGTGGCTCTTCATAAGATGACCACAGTCCTGTGTGTATGAGTCACTTTATACTTTCATCTGATGGCATGTGAACCTGTGCTTGGGCACATCTGAGGCAAATGCAGTACGGGGAGTGAGAGTGGTTTTACTACCCTTAGGGGTTATTAGAAGCCACTGTATTGAAGCTGGAGTGCAAGAGCAGACTGTAGTCCCCATGGTGACAAGAAAGGGGAAGTTTTCACTCATCTTTCTTGGGAACAGAACTATTTAAGAGCTTCTGTGGCCTGACAGATGAAAACTGCAGTGGGATAGAATACAGAAATTGTGGAATCACTAGGGTAAACAAGGCTGAAAGCCTTTGTCATGAGAAAACCCTGTGTGAGGGTAAGCTTACTCAAGACTAGATGAGTTGCTTACAATGTACATTCTCCCCTGTCATCCATGTGTACCTCCTGTGGAGGTAATTGTGGGACCTGGCTCCCATGCCAACTGCCTTGCAATGGTTGATGATTATGATCTATTCCCTTGATATTTGATACTGAAAAAATATTTGCCTTACAAGATGGTAATTGTTCCTCCTACTTGGCTAGTAGTTGGTCACATGAGCTGGAGAAGCTTGTGCTGGCAAAACATGCCCTGTTTCTGAAGCAGTGTGAGAAGGGAGAAATGCTAGATAGCTGCAATGCTCTGAGGAGAGTTTTGATGGTATCATTTGAGGACCTTTAATTGTATTAACATGGTTACTCCAGCTTCTTCAGATAATCTTTTAATTACCATAAAGTCAAGATTAGTATTTGTTTTTCCTCCTTAATATTTCAACAAGTAGCTCATGCAGTCACTACAAGGAGATTGCACACTCACAAGCAGAAGTACAGTGCTCTAGCAGTATCATCTGCTGCTTTTTAAAGAAAGTAAACTTAGTTTTTAAAGTGGAAGGAGTAGGGCTCCATATGTTCACTTTTTTGTTAGCCCAGACTCTGGCCATGTGCAAACCCTACCTGATCTGTAGAATACCTTAAAAAATATATACCTTTGCAAAATCACTGTTTACTCTTATAAAAAAGACTTGCTGGTTTAGTGCTAGAGTTTGAGGCCAAATTAAGGGAAGAATAATAGAATGCCATTGTATGATCTGGAGCTGTGATTATTGACTTGATTGTGGACCTAGCAGAAGTTTCAGGTTTCTAAATGGCTGCACTCAGCTGTACTGTGAGGTTCGCCTAATTATTTAACTTCCTGGCAAATGCCTGTAGGGTATTCAAGTATGCCACTTAACACAGGGGTCAGCCTCCTCAAATATACCGTGTTCCCTGCAACCTTTCAGTGTTTACCTCAGTATATTGTCCTCTGCATGATTTTAGGTAGCTCTACTGAGGAGTAAACAAGCTGACTCCTACTTACTACAGTCCTGCAGCTCATTCTTGTATTTCTCCTTTCTATCGTGTGTACTAAGGTACACATGAGGTATGGAAATAGGAAAGCTACAGGGAGCTGGATCAAAGCCCAGCTAGCACACTGGCTGTTCCATAATGGGCTGTCAGTGTTACAGGTGTGCCTCCCATAGAAAACAGAGGAGGATTTGTGGCATAGTAGGTTCTACCTCTTTATTAGATCTTCTGCTAACTAGAATTGAGATATCCTCTGGTTTAATTATTTGTCATTAATAGTTCTGGAGATTCCTTGTATCCATATTTTTTTTTTTTAAAGCACTTGTTAGGTTCTTGGTTTTAAAGTCCTGTAACAGAAAACTGAAACTTCATGAGCTCTTGAGGTGATTTTGTCTTCAAGCACTGCTTCTGAACTCTTCTGTTGGAAATCTTCTTCCCCTTCCACTGGAAGCAGCCTTTTGTAAGATGACAGAGACAAAGCTAGGACTGGGCAGCAATGGTGGCAAACTGCAGTTAAAAGAAATTACAACACTTTATATTGATGACAGCAAAACTAAATGGTGTAAGTTTCACACTGTGGTCACTGGTCACACTAGGTATGCCAAAGAGGCAAGTGCCCTCAAAGCTGGAAGCGTATTTATGGAACTTAAAAAGGGCCATGTTCTGCAGGGCAACAGGGGAACCTCAGTGTGCTTAGGTTTGTTCCAAGGTTTCTTGTGTTGAGAATGCAGTAAGCCGTGTGGATCTATCAGGATGCAGCCTTTTTATCAAACTACTTTTCATATATAAAGTGACTCTATAAAATAAATATTTAAATATGACAAAGGCTGTGTTTTGTCATATTTCTTCACATGTGCTCTGTATCAAAAATGAACCATAAACCCACTAATCCAGAAAATTATGCCTGTCAGACTCATGTGATGCCAAGGGCCAAAAAGCAAGTAAGCTCAATGACAGATGTGGAGAATAGAGATGGATTAGAATAATCCCTGCAGCTGCTTCTTAACAGAGTACAGTCAAGGAATTGAGATAATGAAGATTTTAATTATCATCTTCAGCAGCAACTTCGAGGGGGCAGAGCTGGCAGGTCTTTTTCACCACTCTAAAAAGCCTGGTTTTCCGTGATCGCTGAAATGATGCGTCAATAACGAGTGAGAGCCACGAAATTTCACGTCTGCCTGTCATACCGGATGAGCGTGGAGACCAGCTTGGTGCTGCGCTCCCCCGGCGGAAGCGGGGACGGACTGCCCTGCTCACTCGCCCTAGGGAGCCGCCCCGCTGCCGGACTCCGCCCCGGGCCCGCCTCGGCCACAGTCCGGCCGAGACATGGAGCCGCATCTCAGCTTCGGCGGCCGGCGGGCCCTGGTGACTGGGGCTGGCAAAGGTGACCGTCGGCGGAGGCCCGGGGGCGGGGGCCAGGCCGGGCCGAGCCTGACGCCGTCTCCTCGCAGGGATCGGTCGCTCCGTGGCCGTGGCGCTGAGCAGGGCCGGGGCTCGCGTGACTGCGCTGAGCCGAACGGCGGCGGACTTGGAGAGCCTCGCGCGGGAGGTACCGGACCCCTCCTCCTGCCCCCTTCCCGCCCCAATAACCCCGCAGCGGGGCCCCGGGCTTCCCCCGGCCCACCGCCGCCGCCCTCGCCGCAGTGCCCGGGCATCGAGACCCTCTGCGTGGACCTGGCGGACTGGGAGGCTGCGGAGGCGGCGGTGGGCGCGGCGGGGCCGTTCCAGCTGCTGGTTAACAACGCAGCGGTGGCGGAGCTGCAGCCGTTCCTGGAGGTGACGCGCTCGGCCCTGCAGCGGTGAGTGCCCGGCCCTGGCCCGCCAGAGGCTCCCGCACCGGACGGCAGCTCCACGGGGAGCTCTGGGGCCGATGCTCGCCAGGGCGTTACGAAGCTGTGAACGTCAAAAACGGCGGCAGAGCTTTCCAGAAAAGGGTGTTATTAGAGGGAAAGCAGTTGAAAATAACAAAGTCAGCAACTGGTGTATAGACGCTGAACAGGATGACATGCACACTTTTGGCAATGCCCAGTGGTCGATTGTTACTGCATATGTCCTTTTTCTTTACTGTCTTTTCATACATCATCACCTTTGACCCCTTAAACAGCAAAAGGAAACAAAGCACTGGCTCTTAATATCCATTTCTAAGTAGCCAGAACCTGAAGTGTCACCTCCAGAACGCCAGGGTGCACCAGTCATCCCACTGGCATGGCAGGAGAGTGCCTTTGCTGCTCATCAAGTTCAGAGCTTCCAGTCTAGTTCCAGCTCCGTTAAAATGAAAGGCAGTTGTTGCTAAGACAATTCAGAAATAGAGACAACAAAGCCAGGTAAGGAAGCAAATCAGTCATGGTGGGAAATTAAATTTGCTAACTACAATAACATGACTTCTTTGTTCTCTGAAAAGGTCTGTAGTTTTGTTGAGTACACTTTAGGATACAGGCTATCTTGACCACATCCTTCTGAGAAAATGGGTTACACTGTGTCCCTGTGTTAAAAATGGCTGTTGAGAATCTGTAATAAAGGTTTGTGACTAGAACATCAAATGTATGGATTCTACCAAGATCATTCTGCAGAACTGGCAGGTGGAAGCCTATGGAAGCACAATGTGGCAAACAGAAGAAATGCTGCCTCTACCCACCTTACAGCAGCTTTGCTTTGTAAATCTGTGTGAAGGGTTTGCTTGACCTAAGAGTCATCTGCCCTGGATGAAGCCCAGGGCTCTGTTTAAACTTTGACAGAGGAATTCCATTAGGCTGCAGAAGAGCAGAGTCCTGTGCAAAATGTACCTGATGCATGCCTGCACCTCTTCACACACTGACAGGCTTGCAGCCAATGGATGGTTCTGGTTCATTGCTGAAATCCCACCTGACCATTCTGGTTCTCCTGACAACTTGGCATTTCTGTCCATATCCTAGAGTATCACCAGTGTTTCCAAGACACCAGCAGCACTTGTCCTCTGCTGCCTCCCAAGACAGCTCCCTGGGCTGGGCTACAACCACTCTGTAACTTGAATATGATTTATTTGTAGGTCTCTTGATGTGAATTTTGGGGCTGTGCTTCATGTTTCCCAGGTGAGAAAGAACTGTCACTGCAGCTGCCTCCATGAATAGCAGTGACTAAACTGTTGTATATAAGCAGGGGTATGTGTCCACTGTAGGGGCTGAAAGGACTGCAGTCCAAAGTCAATCCGACAAACTACATATACAGTCCCTTCACACTCTTGCTGTAACTCTCTTGTAAGCAGAAGGCAGTGAGGACTTGCTTCCTCCAGGTGTTTTTGTTCTTTGGTCTACCATAATAGCCCAGCAAAATTCTTATGGAGTGAAATAATGATTTCTCTTGTTAGGATTCTGGCATTCCTTTTTTTTTTTCTCTCTCCTCCCTCTCCCAGATAGTTGCTCGGCAGATGATTGCACAGGGGGTGCCAGGAGCTATTGTGAATGTCTCCAGCCAGGCATCAAAGCGTGCGCTGAGGGATCATGCTGTCTATTGTAAGTGTGTGCAGCTTTAGCAGTGCCCCTCTCAGTTTTGACCAGCTGGAGACCCAGTCACCAGGCTGCCAGTTTTGGGCTGCAAAATACCCATGTTCCATAGCACCTCCAGACCAGGTGCTATGCAGTTAAATATCTCCTCTTCTTCCCTTCTCTTAAAGGTTCCACAAAAAGTGCTCTGGATATGCTGAGCAAAGTAATGGCAATGGAACTGGGACCCCACAAGGTAGGAGTCTGTGAGAGAAAAGTGTGAAAGCTGAACCTGAGCACAACCACAGCAGTTGGATTAGATTATTTGTTGTTCCTGGTCCCAGATTAGGGTGAACACTGTGAACCCCACCGTGGTTATGACTGACATGGGGAGAATTAACTGGAGTGACCCTCAGAAATCTGCTGCCATGATTAATCGGATTCCGCTGGGAAAGTTTGCAGGTCAGTGATGTACATCTGTCCCCAGGCTGTGTTCTCATGGTTTCTCTAAGCCTTCTCACTTACATCACAGCCAGAAGTTGCTGATTTTTGGGCATTCAGCAGAGCTGAATGCCTTTTGGCTGAATTCCTGCAGTATTCCTTCAGGACAGGATGAGAATCAACCCTCCTCTCGCTTTTTCTACACCCTCCTCATCTTGAGACAAGTGAAATGAACTTACTCTATTGTTCATAAACCTGACAGAGTGTTTGCTGTGACCTAAGCACCGTTTGATCACAAGGACACTTTGATGTCCAGCTCTCAGCCACACTGTCCCAGACACTTCATCAAGCACAGTTTGAAGGCAGAAACACTTTACAGCTCTAATTATCTGTAGAGGTCAAAGGCAGACCTTTTTAAGTGCTTTTTTTTTTCTGGTACACTTTAAGGTGAGCATCAGATGTTCTCGTGTTTGATTGCAGAGGTGGATGATGTGGTGAACAGCATTCTCTTCCTGCTGAGTGACAAGAGTGCTATGACAACTGGCAGCTCACTGATGGTTGATGGGGGCTTTCTTGTCTCCTAAGATGACACCTGCATTTCACACCTGGTCTCAGTTTTCATATGAATACTGCCTAGATGTAAACTGGATAGAAAACAATGACTTGCTTCTTGCCAGAGGAGCAGCAGGCCTGAAGACTGTATTAGAAGTGAGGCAGGAAATCAGCTCTGCAAGGCTGCTATATAATAAAGCTCACATACACCTTCATGGAGAATGTTTATTGCACCAAATAAGGTTTTATCTTGTCACTCTACATGATGATTAGAAATTGGACCTATCTTCCAACCCTGTTCCCCCACAACCCTTCAGAAGCTCTCCCTGTTCCATCCAAATCTGCAGAGTCTGTCTGCATTTTCAGTGGGAACAGAAAGAATTTAGCAGACACCTCATTGCTTCCTTTGTTGTCTTCAGTAGAAAAAAAAAAAAATTGAGGGAACAACCCCAGCCCTGCTCTGCAGAAACTGGATTTTGGGGGGAGGCCCTGCCAAAGACTAATCGGGGCAGGGAGCAGCACCATGCTGTCCTAGGGTGTGCACACACAAAAAGGCAAATGCATTGATTGCATGGAGCTGTTTCACTCAAAAAGTTTGGCTAGTACCCAGTAAAGCACCTAATTATTCGTTTTTCAGCTTCTCATTTGACCCCTTCCAGGGCTGGTTATGATTTCTTTAACAGTCTCGGAACATTCTGCTAGAGCACCAGTTTGTTAACTGTTAGCCACAGCAGGCTGGGCAAGGAGACCCTACCATCCTCCCAGCTGTTCTTGTCTTTCAGCACCATTGAAATCAGCTCCCTCCCCACTCCCACCAGGATGTTCACCACCTGTTTCACCTGCAGGTTGAAAACAGGTGTTTCCAGAACAGGAACTCCTTTCCACTCGGAGTTCAGGAGAGCCAAAACAGCTTGTTGCCTGAAGGAGCTACCTTGCCTTCCCTGCTGTACCTCCCCTGGGGGCTGTATAGTCCCCAGCTGGTCTTCTGTCCCCACTGCCCCTTCACATCAACACTGACGTTAAATCAAAGAGACATTTAAAAAACACTGACTTCATACATGATGAAGGGCCCTACACATCCCAGCCCCCTTCAGAAACACCCAGCTTAATATGCAATCTGTCAGAGGATGACAGCATGCTGAGCCAACACCAAGGCTACAGCCCTCAAAACATGGTACACTTTTTGCCAGGCTTCTTCACAGGCGGCGGGCAGAGCACAGCCCGGATGGCTTCATCAAACACCGTCTTCAAGCCCCGCTGCGTTAGGGCAGAGCATTCGAGGTACTTTACCGACCCTGGGGAAAGAGAGCTCCAGCTCAACCACTTCAGTTCTACCACCATACACTGTTGCTCACCCACTCACAAAGTTCAGTGCCACCAACATCTGCCTGCTCATGGGACTCACCAATCTCCCGAGCCATGGCCAAGCCTTGGGGGTAGGTGATGGGGGCCAGTTTCTTATCACGTAACCTTTCAATGGTGTCCTTATCATCCCTTAAGTCCAGCTTGGTGCCCACCAGGATAATAGGTGTATTTGGGCAATGGTGTCGAACCTCAGGGTACCACTGAAACAGAAAGGCATGGTAAGAAAAGTAGTTATATGAGTGGCCATATCCATAAGGATGCATTCCTACTATTGCGAATGAAGATGTTCACTACTGACATGAAGGCATCACCTGAACAGGATACTGCTGCCTACAGTTCTAATATGCTCTGCAAAAAGAGACTGGTACAGAGGTAATAATGAAGGCATCAAGACACAGAATCCTGACAGACATTGCCAGCCAACTCTGCACACAGTGCTTTCCTTAACTGCGTTTTAGCTTCTAAAACATCCCTGATCTTAAAACAGACTCAGAAAGGCAATAACTTAGCCAAAGAAATCATTAATAAAAAGCAGGCCCCACTTAAAACCTGCAGACTATGATTTTACCTCACGGGAACATTACTGCTTGAAGTTTTGGGCATGTAGGTGTGGTGCTGGGTGGGGCAGGGAGTGTCACTGGTTCTTCCCTTCTACCATTTCACCCAGGAAGAGAATACTTTACCTTAGCTCGGACATTCTCAAAGGAGGCTGGACTCACAAGGGAGAAGCAGATCAAGAAAACATCCTGTGCGGAAACAAGAGGGTCAGCTGTGCAGAAAGAAACTGCTAGAGTGAAGGGAGGCTGTAGAGGGAGCCTGAGAAATGACAACCTCCTCCCACAAGCAAGGACTGCTGTGGCCTTAAGAAATTCTTGCCCACTAAAAATGTTAAAACTAATTCAGAGAGAGAAGGAATGGACCTTGAGTGTATGATTACATCTCCTTTCACAATGCTGGGCTCTGCATGTTAAGAGCCTGAGGCCTCAAACATCTTAACAGCACTAAGGGCTTCACCAGCAGCACAGCTGCTTAGGAACTGCTACACCCAGAAACACTCCCTAGACAGCCCAATGGGGATCTGTTCTGCTGAGAGAGAATGGGAACACGGAACTGGCTAGGCTGCACAACAGCCCTACAGCATTCCTTTTACTTGAGCCTCCCTGGGGAACCCATAACTCTTCAAAGACTATTATAAAGAGACTAGAACAGGACAATCTCTTAGAGAAAATCAGCTGTGATACTTCTTAAGCAACCAGAATTATGGGTGTAGCTGCAGGAACTCAGACTTTCCTCAATGGAAAGAAGCATGTCTGTCCTTGGGAGCCTCCCTGTCTCTGAGAGGAAGCAGTCACAAGCCAGCCCAAGCCCAGCACTCACCGTCTGTGGATAGGAAAGAGGCCGCAGTCGGTCATAGTCTTCTTGCCCTGCTGTATCCCAGAGGCCCAGGTTCACTGGCTTTCCATCTACCATTACATTGGCAGAATAATTATCAAACCTGCAAACGAGGAGTCCCCATCAGTGACAATTTTGTGGTCACCTTCACCTCTTTATATGGAATTCAAAGGCACAGCGAATTGGGAAAGGATACTGCAGCACAGTTCCAGTGGGGACAATCTGCCTTCCTCATGCACACAGCCACAGCATCATCCTTACCTGTCAAGTCCACAGTCTGATTTGCAACAGCCACTTCTTCATCTACAAACCAAACTTTTACACACACAAGCATACAGATCAAAAAGCAACTGAAGCCCAGGGCCATTACTTACACAGTGGGAATGTATTCTCCAGGAAAGGCATTTGTGGTGTAACTGATCAGCAAGCAGGTCTTCCCTACAGCCCTGCAGAGGGAAGGAGTGACAAGCATAAAGAAGGGTACAGCATGGAGTACTAAGACAGTAAAACTCACCCTTCCCCCACTGAAAACAGTTTGGTAAAAAGCTACCATGTGAGAAAACAAATCTGTTGCAGGCTGGAATTCCCTAGTTGTCACAGACATGGCCTGAAGTCAAAAGGTGCACCTTGCCTGAGCACGTCCTAACATTGCTTGTCGTCACTCCTTTTCCCTACCCATTCAGCCCTCAGCAAGACATCAGTCAAAATACAACCAAGAGAGGGAATAAATTAGGGTTGTGTGCTGGGCTCAACAGATGCATAGTAATTTAGCAAAATGGATAAACAGTGAGGTTAAAAAACATGCAACAATGCAGATTTCTGCTCCTCAGATACAGGAATTCAGTACCAATAAACACAAAGGAGAAAAAGTAATTATCCATAAACAAAAATGGACTTTAATATTGACTGCTGTCAGTTTGGAAAACATTAGTGAAAAAGGATAAAAACACCAGCTCGGCTTTGCTGAAGGTTGATGGGATTGGTCAGCCCAGCAGTGGCAGCTGGCAAGGGCCAGGCCTGGCCAGCATGAGCACAGGGACTTTAACCAGCCCTGCAGACTTCCTAACTGAGAGCATCACTGTAAGAACAGAAGAGCACCAGCAGTGTGAGCAACTTCTTTATCACCGAGAAAAGTTGTAAACTGCAGACAACCTTCCAGAAAAAGACTGTGAGTGCCAGTGCCAGGGAAAGGTGGCTTTGAGGTGCCTGGGTGAAGCTCAATAGCTAGCAGAAATGGGTATCCCCTACCCAATTCTGCAGCCAGACTGACGTGAGAGAGGATGTCAGAAGAGAGGAAGAGAGCTGACAGTCCCCTGCACACACCAGGATGACAAAAAGCGCAGAGAGAACAAAGCACTATTACAACTTTTCATTTGGATTAGGTCCCCTCAGTCTGAGAAGAGAGAAGTTTTGTTAAGAACTGCTACGCTGACTGGTCCAACCCTCTTTAAGTGTGACTTCTCTTTCCACCACACAGAGACACTTATAATTCACAAAAATCTGTGTATCTATGTGTTTCTTTTAGTCTGCACAGTTGATTTAGTCTTAATGCAAAACTCACGACAGCAAACTTTCAGCTGAACTCCATTTACAAAATCCTGAGCTCCCAGTCACACCTCTCCTCTCTGCAATAAGGCTGTGCTTTCTCCTACTCCCTTCTTTAACCCTCACAGGCTGGAACCTAGAAGGTCTCACCGCAAATGTGTATTTGAGGGGGTGGCATGCATGAAAAAGGGGAAGTCTAGTCCCTCCCAAAGACCTGTTCACATTTAGGTCTGAGTACCTCAGCTATGTTCCTGCTAAGGTGATCAGAAAAGTAAACTGGAATTGTGAGGAAAAATATGCAGGATGAGCTAGGAAAATTATAAAGCAGCATAAATCTAGTGCATGCCTGCATCTTGCAGGCAGATGTGTTCCCAAAAAAAGGCATTTAGGAAGAGCCTTAAGAAAAACGCAAAAAGGGTGACAAGGAGCAGATGGTGAAATCAGAAAGAGCAACGCATTTCACCTCAGAACAATCAACAAAAGGACATACGAAACCTGCGAACATTAAGATTTTCGGGTGCACTCTGTCAGGAATCAAGCAGGTACAATGAAAAATAGCAAAATACCAGCACCTACTAGGAGGCAAACGTAAAACCCAGGAGAAGCGGGTGTTTGCTACCCAAGCAGCAGCCAAGCTCATGAACTATGAAAGGAGCGGGCTGGGCTGCGCGGGCCGCGGCAAGGCCCCTGTCTCCCGCCGGGACTCAGCGGCGGCTCGGCCGCCGGCCCCGCCCCACCCGAGCCGGACCCCCGTCCATCCGGGCCGGACCGAGCCTCGCCGCCCGGCGCGGGGCCTCCCGCCGGCGGAGCAGCTCTCCCGGGACGCAGGCCCGGGCCAGCCCTCCCTCCTTCCCGCGACGCCGCCGGGCCCGTTCGGTGCGGGGCTGCGGGGGCCGGGGCGCGGCCCCTCCCGCACTCACCCGTCGCCCACCACCACACACTTGATCGCCTGCATCTGCCCGCGATGGCGGCGCCGCGACTGCGCCGCGACTCCGCCGCAGTGCCCGCCCGCGGGGTGGGGCGGGGCCGCGGCGAGCACCGGGGGCAGGGCCCGTGTCCCGCCGGCTCCGCCCCGCCGCTCCGCCGGGGCCGGACGCGGCTCCGCCGCGGGCGCTGGCGCGGAGAAGCGGCGGCCCCGCCCCACGGTAGAAGAGGCGGCTGCTGCTCGGGCCGGTTACCGCACCGGGGCGCACCGGCTCAAGGACAAAGCTTTAAAACCTGGTTACGTTGTAGCTGCATAGTTCACCGTCATCTGCCCAGAGCTGCTGAGGAACAAAGATGGAGCAGGAAAAATCCTTCAGGAAGACGGCTTTTGGCTTCCCCCACCTCCCTAAGGTACCCTGCCGGCAAAATAGGTGCCCACAGTAGCGGCCCTGTCTGAAAACAATAGGCTTTGCTTTTCCCTTGCCTGCGGATCTGCAGCGCTGCCCAGCAGCCACAAACTAAGCAGCTTTTGCCACAGGTTGTGTTCGTTATGACTAGGGAACAGCTTCCCAACTTCTTTGCTTTTATCTTAGTCCAGAACCAAAACCATCCCCATCTCATCCACCTGTAATAGCCTTTTAGGTGCAGGACAGGCTGACAGGATCTTCAGGAGAGTAACACAGCAGAAGGCCCCACCCTCCACACCAGCCAAAGACCCAGTTTGCCACTGTCCAGTGCCAATGCCAAAATGCAAAAGTTCTTTATTAAGCAGAGCAAAACCCAGCATAAAAAATGAACACAAAGCAACCAGTTCACACAGAAACTTTCATTTTCCAAGCATCATTTAAAATATGTACTCCAAGAATCCTAATATTCCCACCCCAGACTTACAGGAAAAAACTCCCTCAAGGCTCAATACTGCTGGACTGACAACAGCTCCTGCTTTCTCCAATTCAGACTCTAGTAAACCTTCCCTTTCTCCAGGTCATGCAAGGACTTGCATTGCCAGGAGAGGAACCACCTTCTCCCCTTTGTGCTCTGAAAAGCACCTCCCCAGCATCACACCAGAAACAACGCTCCTCTCCAGGTTAGGGCCACAGCACTCGGTTCTAGGATTCTTAGAAGCCAGGAGAACAGTTCTGCCATTTGCCATAGTGAAACTAAATCCTGTAGCTATACTAGCCACAACATCTTTAGCTAAGGGCCGCAGTTCACAGTGAAGAAGCACAGATGTTGGCAACCAATTACCCACCCACCCTTTCCCTGCCACTCACTGTTGCAGAAGTGGAACTACTGCCAAGGGCCGGCTGTCCCACGAGGACATGGACAGCGCTGCACTGAAGCCCCTCAGTGCAGCTGTTTCTGTCTATGCCAAATATGTTTCTATGGCCCACCAATATGGCCAGAGCCACAGAGGGAGGGTAAACAAGCCAGAGAGGGCTCCATCAGACTCTGCTTCTGTCTGCAAACCCTGGGTGAATAAGTACAAATGGGTAATATCTGGTGTTTCCAGCAGTTCCAGGATCCCATTAGCAAGATAAATTGCTCCAGCCCACAGGGAACTGTAAACACTCGTCACTTTTCCTCACATTTCTCTGTGTACAGCCCTGGCATCCAAACAAATACTGCAGCAGGACCTTGCCAGGGAACATACAACCCCCCCCCCCCAGTAACCCCCTGTACCAATAGGCTGTGGCAGTGCAGGGGAGGGGGCTCAACATCATGACTCAGACCCACAGGCCTGGGTGGTGTTTTTCTCCTCTCCTTTACACTGTCAGGAGGAAGATTTCTGAACAGCAGGAGCATTTGTCTATTTGTGAGCCTTTGTGTCACCCCACTCTGATAATACTGTCCATTTAGGAAGAAGGAGTTGTACCTAAGTTGCTCACCCTTTCCCTGACAGCAGATATTTGGATCCTTTAAGCCACACTCTCACTTCCTAGAACTGTGGGTTCCCAAGAGAGATCCCTGCACATATGCCATGATGGCATTCTGCAAGAAACTTGCTCGCTGGGCCTCCTCTTCCCTCATCCTGGAGATCTCAGCCTCCTTCATTCTCAGCTTCTCCAGTAGCAGAGAGATCTCACCCTCCTTGTCCAGCAGTGCTTCACGGTGATTACTGCACAGGGCTGTGAAAAAGCAGCATTAGTAAAGAAAGTCAAGATATCCCTGGAATAAATAAGAGCAGGCAAAAGGCAATGGAAGTGCTACAGTCAGCGAGCACACAAGAGAAGCTGCATGAGACATGAGAGGTTTTGCACAGACAGCAAGCACACTTCACTGTGCAAGAAATCCAAACATTTTGTCTGCTATGCAGGTTTGAGTGGTCATCTGAGTCTTGGTCTCTATAAAATGAGGACAGGAATCCCTGTAAATACATGTGGATGGAGAGTACAACTCACAGGTGTACTCACAGGCAGGAAGCACTTGCTTACTGTGAGTCACTACCTGTGAGCACAGCTCAGTTCCAGGCCTAATGTAGGGTAACTCAGAGTAACCATTTGAGAAGCATAAAAGTATCCATCACCTTTCAGCTGTCTTTCCAGAGCTGCAATCTTCTCTCTCAGCCCATCCTGGGCTGTGCGTTCAGCCTCCAGGTGCCCAATCTGCTCCTGTAATTCCACTTTCACCTTATTTAGCTCTGTCACTTTCTCCTCTTCCTTCCTGTCCAGGTCCTGACACACAAAGACAAATCCATGAACAACCAAACAACTTCAGCAACTTGTTCTGGCCCTGTTGTGACTATCTCTACTCCAGTCCAAATTACCTGCTGAAGTTCATCCAGCCTCCTCCTGAGCCCATCAGCATACAGGCTCAACTGTCTGGCTTTGGCCTGGGCCTCAGCAACCATTTCTTTTTGCTTAAGGCAGCAGTTCTGAACTTCATCCCTTGACTCAGCCATCAGCCGCAGCTTCTCTTCTAGGTGTTCTAGTCGTTGCTGCTGTAAGACGTGAAGGAAAATGAAAATTAAACAGTCCCACTTCATTCCTGTGAAGAGATTCTCCCATCTCTGTTCCTAACACAGTGAACCCTTTATTCAGTCAACTGGCACTGACAAGTACAGGACACAGTCCTGCTCCGTGCACTTAGGAGTGACTCCATGCTGCTTCCTCTTGCCAGGGAGGACACTGACAGAGACCAAAACACTCAAATGAGAAACAGAGACAGGTCCTTGGCAGATGTAACAATGTCACTGCCAGTGTTTACAACCAGCGCTCTACCTTCACTTCCTCCACACCTCAAATGGCTCTGCAGCACCACTGCAGGCAACTAAGAAACTGCTGGATCCCACATGTCAGTAACTCAGTAATTCTATGTCTGTAACTCAATGAAGCATCTTCTTTTGTGATGCTACAAATAAGTAAATATTCTAATAGTTTTTGTGTATTTTCCACATCCTTTGTTCTGTTTCACAGGATATTAATTTCATTGCCATTTTCACAAAGTTCAATACTACAGTGACTATTTATCTAGCAGCAGTAGCGACCTGAAGAAATTTCTCAGTGTTCACAGAAACAGGAGTACTCCATGAAAGTTGTTATTAAAAAGAAGGATCAACATCTGGCCATTGGCTTCAGATGCTGGCAACTTAAATCTGCCATGACAATATCAACATCAGTTCTGTTACTACTAAAGACAGTTCGAATTAGACTTTTCAGGACTCTTTCCTCAGCAATCACACCATTAGAGGAGTGAGCTAGCAGCTCCCCAAGACTAAAACATAGACTAGGTAGCCGAACCACTTCCTTCCCACAGGGACAGGCCCACAGATAGGTCTTGTCCTTACCTCCTCCAAGCGTGCCTGACTCCGGGCTTTTATTAACTCCTCCTCTGCCCGTCCTCGCTCAGTTATTGCAGCTGCTTTGACTTGGTTCAGCTCCTGCCACAGAAACATGGAAAATCATTCCAGACAGAAAAGCTGCATTGCTGCCACACTGACCAGAGAACCAGCAGTTCCCAGTCACAGGCCATAAAATGACACAGCTCTCTTTCTCACTCAGGGGCAGCAAAAGCAAACAAAGATGACAAACCTTTCCTCAGTTAAAGACTGCTATCTAAGTTAAATGCAGATTTCAGTTATATGAGGGCAAGTATTGGTTAAACCTTTCCAAAACAAGGGAAGAGGAAAGAGCACTGCTGGATGTAGCTGGGGAAATAGATATGGATAAACATGCTACACTACTTGTGACAACATGAGAATCCGGTAAAGTCAAATCTTAGTAAGATTCTAAACATGTTAAATGGAATCCTTATTTTTGTCCAATCTGAATTTACAAGTTTCTCCTTGGAACCTTCTTCCTTAATCCAAAGCAGTAAAAATAATTTTAGCTGGTATACTGCTGTTTTCTGTTCCTCCTTACAGCACAAGACAATCTTTACCAAGGTCTGCACTCAGAGACTCAACAAAGCTTTCCTGGCAGCCTTCTCCGTGCACTGCTATAGGAGTCAAACATGCCTAGAGCACTTTTTCTCACCTCATCCAGAGATATCCTGATGGCCTCCAGCCTCTGGATCCTGTCGTGCATGGAACGTTCACTGGCCTCCATCTGCTGTGCCATACGATCCACCTGCAAAGCAGTAGAAACCAGCAAGTGACAGAAAACCATTCCCATCTTCAGGAAAAGCAAGCAGCAGGACTACTCATTACAATAGTGAAGCATCCTCTCACTGACCCACCTACCAGCAAAGTAAAATTCTTACCTCTCCCAGAACTCCACTAGGAAACAGTAGTACAGATGGAATCTGCCCTCTTGAAACTAGGAATTTTTAGACAGAGATCCCTCCCAGGACACAAGGAGGGAGTCCAAGCTCTCATTATCAAGTGATACAAAACACAACAGATTCATTTTCTAGCTGTAATGTTGGTAAAATCCTTCCAGCCTGTGAATTTTCTTAAAAGATTTCAGTATCTTCAGAGAAATCTATTAGTATAATTTATTTTGGAGAGTCTTCAAACCTCAGTAACACTGCAAAGAGAATTGGTTGTAGTCTGTTGGCCTGTCCACACTCAGACACAGCCCCCTTTGAAACACAACGGAGAAAGAACTAGCATGCTGAGCCCCATTAAAGGACTGCTTGTGTATAAGCAATTAAAACATTAAAATGTATTTATTTTAGAAAGAGGAAAATATTC